ATCCGCCCCCTTAGTAAAACAGGGGTTTTAAAAAATGTTGGGGTTTTTTTTTTTTTTTTTTTTTTTGATATTGAAAAACATTATTGATGGAAGACAGCTTGGTGCTTTTTTTTAAGCGCTTGGACTGGTTGGCATCCAAATGGACTGAACTTTGCAAAATAGGTCCCTTTTAAGAAGTTCTTAGACTTTTCTACAGTTGTCCTCCTGTATGTCATCACAGCAGTACTCCTTCATTATTCTGCTTACAGGTTCAGGAGCATTGAACTGAGAAGTACTTTGCATGATGAGCTCAGCGGTTTCACAGTTGACTATTCATTATGAGCGTAAACTATAATAACCCACTATATAGCTTAAGAGAAGTCTCCCATCTGTCTGGCAAACAGACCTCTGAAGTCTCTCACGCATCACACAGCAGTTGTCTCTCTCATGTCCACGTTGGTTTAGCCATAATTCATCAAAGGTAGGATGCTGAATGAACGGTAGCCGAGAAAGTATGGCAGGAATCTTCTTTGATCTCAAGCACTTTGCCGTGCATCAGAGAGAGCTCTTTGTTTTGCTGCTGTCTGCGGTGTGACATTTTTGAGGCAAATTTCAAATCTGATGAAATACATGAAGATCTGTTGTTTGAGAAGAAGACAGAAGAAATGAATGCTGCTGTATGTTGTTTCTAAAATGGAGCTTTACAGTACTAGTTCTCAGGACGCTCTTGTCAGCATAACTCCCGGCTTATGGTGGCGTTCACTTTCAGCAGTTAAACATTAAAATCAACCTTTGGATTTCTTAGCGTCAACACCTCCTTTTTTAAAGACTTTGACCTTTGGACGGTCACCGTCCAAAGGTCTCCACTGTCCGCTGTACAGACAAAAACATTAATTGTTGCACGTTGCTGGAGGCATCCTATACCTCAGCTGAATTCATTTTATTATATTAGACAGGCACTTTCTTGACTTCCTCATGCACTTTGAATTGCCCTTTACTTCTCTTCTTGAAACAGCTAAATGTTTGATCATTTGTTGGTTTGATCTTTTTTCTTTTCACGTTTATTTTTGTCAAAGTAATTTATCAAAGCTTTCCAAGTACATGTGGGTAATATAGATGTATGTAAGCTTGTGTCACTCTTATTAGAATTATTTTACCAATTTCACTCTATTTGGCCTTTGTGCCAAAACAATGACATGACGTTTGTTCATCCTGCTGCTCAACAACACAAAGCGAGTGTTTTTTTTTTTTTTTTTTTTTTTTTGTGAAGCTCAAATCACACACAAGCTGTTTCTGTTACAGGGAAATAAAAGAGCAAGGGTAAAGGAACATTACATGAAAATGGCAAAATAAATTAAATAGTAAAATTTAAGTATCGCTAAACGTGTAGAAATATAATCTAAATAAAATGTCAAAACATGATAAAGAATAACTAATAAAATAGACTTTGATCTTCATGACTTTCCCTAATCATCATTTATGCAAATGCATTTCCTATCACACTGCTATTGCAATTTGATCTCTGTATTCTCTTGTTGTAGTTTGTGAAAACAGGCTTCTAAAAATGTGCTAATTAAAGCGTTTGGGCACGAATGACGTTCCCTGGGGTTTCGATTGTGCGATTTCCAGGTTTGTCCACACGATGGAGCCATTGGACCGCTGCAGCATCTCTGCTTTGATCAGCCTGGAAACGGCAACAGGCAGACGCGGTTGTTGCTCTCCTTCTGGTTAACTGTATAGTTTAGACAGCCTGGATGTATATATATATATTGATCTAATGTCGTAGTTTCTCAAATTAACAGTAAAATAAGCAGAACTTTGTTTTTGAACCTTTTTTTGTCACCTTTATCCTTCTTTACCAAAACCTACAGAGAAGATAACTTGGTATTTAATGTTAAGTTACTGCAATTTATCTTTGGAGTTGCCCTCCCTTCTTTCGGTGTGATGGCGCCTGGGTGTGGTTAGTTGTTTTTTGTTGTTGTTGTTTTTTGTTGTTGTTGTTGTTTTTGAGGTTTTTTTTTTTTTGCAGAAGCTACCTTCGTGTGTTTGTTTCCCAAGGCTGACCGTCATGTCATCATCTTTCGGTCTTTATTGCAGACATACAATAGAACAGCTGACAATGTGCAGCCATAGTAACGCCACGCCGCTCCTCTCCCTGAAGTGATGTGAATGGAAAGTGGAGAGCTGCTGCTGCTGCTCCTCCTCCTCCTCTCTCCAGGTTCAAGGTATAAAGGGAGTCTCCTCCTGCCGGTGTGATGGACGAGGAGGAGCCCAGATTCCAGCAGCCTCTGGCGCCTCCAGTATCTGCCAGATTGAGCGGATGCGCGGATGATGGGAGCGGCTGGGGGACCGAGATGAAGAGATTCACGCTTGGAGGCGGGGCTGCACGCAAAAGCTCCAGCAACAACAACGAGCTGTGGCTCCTGCAGGACGAGGACTCCTTTAAGGAACCTCTGGGCACCGCTGACAGCGCCGACTCCGCTTTGTTATGCCCCGGGGAGGCTGCTGGTGGCCGGGGCGGCTCCGCGTCAGAGCACCACAGAGGGGACACAGTTTCGGAGGCAAGCGTGACAGGAGCGGGGCCCGTCGGAATGATATGCAACAAGAACGGAGACTGTAGAAGGGACCCGACCAGTTCAGGGAGCCTGTCTTCTCTCATCTCCAGACAAGAGAAGCAGGCGGATGGAGCCGTAGAGAATGAGGACGGACAGGGGCAGTCCGGGGGGATGGACGCCTCTGTCACTTCCGTGGGGTCCCTAATTCAGGGGCCCGTCGGGACTGAGGTCAAGACCAGCGCAGCGACGGAGAAGAAGGACTCCAGAGTTTCCTTCTCCAACGCCACGACTAGTAAAGGTCAGATGCCGCCGGGCGTGCAGTCAAGAAACTCTGTCACTTTCTCTAAAGCGGAGGACAGTTCTCAGATAGTTCCGGACGATGGGGACACAAGGGGGAACCAGACGTACATGCAGCGGCAGTTCAGCTCCATGCTCCAGCCTGGAGTTAACAAATTCTCCCTGCGCATGTTCGGGAGCCAGAAGGCGGTGGAGAAGGAGCAGGAGCGCGTAAAGTCTGCGGGGAACTGGATTATCCATCCATACAGCGACTTCAGGTACGGGACGGTCTGCAATGGGTTCACGAACATAAAGTTTTACTGTATGTGAATGGAAGTAAAAAAAAAAAAAAATAATAATAAAAAATGGCAACGATTTCTGATGTCAGCAAATGATGTTCGATAGACTAAAAATTATACACATGACCAAACATATCAAATGTAGCCTAAACACCCCCTTTTTTTTAAAGTACACGCAAAAATAATTATTTATCATTAAGCATACTCAGTTCTTTTTATCTTTCCCATTTGAATGGACACATATTGAGATTTATTGAGGCCGCTGGTCAATGTTTTTCATCGTCCATTTGATAAAATGCTGCGTTCACACCAGTGCTTTTTAATCATCTGGGCTCAGGCAAGCCATGTCAGTTTTGTACAAGTTTCTTCGGAATACGTAGAAAAAGTCGATTTCAGCACCATGGATAGTTCAAGCTATCGTCCATTTTCTTTACTAAACGCCCTTCTCTCATACAGGAATTTATCAATAAATTAGAATATCACAAAAAAGTTAATTTATGTCATTAATTAAGTTTAAAAGAAAAAAAAATGCACACAGTGATGTTCCAAGACATTATTTGTGTTTATTTAATTGTTAGAACGTAGACATGTCTAATATTGATGAAGTGATTTTTTTTATTAACATAAAGAAGTTTTATTATAGTCAGGTTATGAGCCAGAATCAGGACGGAGAATGCCAACTTCTCACTTGTCCAGGAAACAAGTCATTGACAGCTTTAGCCATAAAAGCTACCTCCTAATTAAGCTAACTGCTAACAGGTAGTTAGCTTAAATACTAAGCTACCTGTTAGCTTACTATGGTGAAGACAACATAAAAACCTGCTGTCTTCAGTATTAGAAAATAGAAGACAACATTCATATATTGTCTCCAATATTGGAATGTTTAGTGAAAGGAAACGGTGTGGCACCAGAAGGTGACAAGCAACTAGAATAACAACAACCTCATGGCCCAGAAATTTTAGAGGACTGTTTCCCTCTGCTGGCATCCTTGATGGAGATGCTGGTTTCATTTTCCAACAGGACTACCAAGTATCAATACCTGATTTGATGACTATGCTGAACTCACCTGATACAAACCCAATACAGAATCTATGGAGTGCACACCAGAGCCAACAATGCAAAATGGCCGACGGCTGTTATAAACGCATGGCTAACCATGCCATGCTGCACTGATGCAGTAATACAAAAAGAGCCACAGTTGAGTATTGAGTCAATAGAACATAAACGTAGTCGTAAGTTATAAGTCAATAAACATTTTATGCAAAATTAAATTGCTGTGACAACTGAAATATTGGGTTTTCAATAGCAATAAGCTATAACCATAAAAAACTGATAGAAATGCATGCGTAAAGGTTATCACTCTGCATGTAAGGAAACTGCACAATAAATAAGTTGCACTTTTTGAATTGATCTAGTAAAATAAAACAAACTTTTCAATGATTTCTGAATCAAACGTTAGTCGTGAAAAATGAATAAAGTGAGAAAATTAAAGTAATCTCTACCAGCTTATATCTCTGTTGTAAATCTCAGCACTGTTTTCTAAGTATGTCCCCATCAAGGGTGATTTGCTTCATGCTGTTCCAGTAAAAGTTAAGAATGCTGCTGGGGCCTGAACAGCATCTTTGCAAGCATGTGATATCAGTGTGCTAATAGCAGCACTGTGTCTAGACAGTTCAGATTTCACTGTGCCCTTAATTCTTATTGACAGCCACAATAAACATGTGTAAACATCCTTAAAATAAAATTCATCTTCATAACACTGAAGCGTTTAAGAAAAGGTGGACTTGTAATTTGAATACCTTCCTTTAGAATATATGAAAAAGTCCACTTTATGAGGGGTTTTTGGTCGTTGTTGTTGATGTTTTACAAAATCACTGTCACTGCATGTTTTATATTGTTTATTTATCCATTATTTTACCAGGAAGTTCCATGAGATAAAATCTTTTTCGCTGGGGATGCCTGGCCAAGTGGCACACCGGTGAATAAATACAAAACTTTATCTGTAGCTGTAAACTATATTAACATTGACTGAGATTTTTAAATAAAAAGTTCCTGTTTTCCAATGAGTTGATGATGCAACACCCTCTAACAGCATTTGTTGGGACTTTGAGAAATAATCCTAAGATTATCCTTAGTTCTATCTGATGAAAGCACACTATGCCAGTTACAGTCCCAGAGTTGTTTGGCAACTTCCACTTATTTATCGCAATGCCTTGACAGAAAAAGCTTTTTAATGCCATGCCTGTCAAAAAAAAAGGCCTGCCATGTCACATCTACAAGCTTTATGGCCACTTTGTGTTCCCAAGGTGACAGTAACAATAAACTTTGAAGGTTTCTTTCACTTCTGTTACCTTCCTGCTCACTATTCACTACTGTTGGTCTCCCAACTAACCTTCTTTCTCACACCTGATGTAATGGCAAAGTAACAAGATTTAAAAAACAAAAACAAAACAAGAAAAGCAAAGTTAATCATAATCAATATCACCAATTAAAAATGTCATATTCATTTTATTTTGTCTCTTCCCTTTTTAAGGGGTCTTAGAGAAACAGGCCTCTGTGTCTCATGCTGTCATAACTCAAGTGTCTTATTCAAGCGAAAACAAAAGACTCAAACATATTCTTCAGTTGCATATATTTTATTGGGAGGCCAAGCAAAGGCGGTTATTTCTAAATACTGATTTTATTTCCGCCACAGAATAAATATACTGAAATCAAAGCAACATCTAACAGATTTTTAAGCTACTGTGATTAAAGACGGATATATTTGAAGGATCTTCACCACCAATTCTGGTAGCTGCTGTAGATGACCTTAAGTCAGAGCAAACACAGAAATACGTATTCATAACGTATCATGTTGAAAGCTTCAGCATTGGACCCGGCACGGACAAGTCTTTACTTTAATCATCTTCTGCTCAGGTTCTATTGGGACTTTACCATGCTGATGTTCATGGTCGGCAACCTGATCATCATCCCGGTTGGGATTACTTTCTTCAAAGACGAGACGACAACGCCCTGGATCATCTTCAACGTGGTCTCGGACACCTTCTTTCTCATGGACCTGGTGCTCAACTTCAGGACGGGCATCGTGTTCGAAGACAACACTGAGATCATCCTGGATCCCAAGAAGATCAAGAAGAAGTACCTGAAGAGCTGGTTCATCGTGGACTTTGTTTCCTCCATACCTGTGGATTATATCTTCCTCATTGTGGAGAAGGGCATCGACTCGGAGGTGTACAAGACGGCCCGGGCGCTGCGCATCGTCCGGTTCACGAAGATCCTCAGCCTGCTGCGCCTCCTCAGGCTGTCCAGACTCATCCGTTACATCCACCAGTGGGAGGAGGTACGCTAATGTTCACGTTTTGTCCTTTAAGTGCAGGAAAAGGAAGATGGTTTGGTACCGATCACCAGTGAGTAAACAGTCACTGACGAAAAGCATCGGGTTTCGTTTCACTTTAGTATCTAACTGCAGCAAAATACAGATTTCAGCTAGAACAGTGCTTTGTTTGTTTAAGTGTTATAATTCAAATTACAAAATAAGTTTAGTTTATCAGTTGTAGGAGTAAACAACTTTGAAATTGAAACTATTTTTTTTTAAAAGTGGGAATAAACAAACAAGTTCTGATTTTAGAAATATGCCAAAATTTTGCAAGTCTTCTCTTGTATTTCTTTGTTAAGGTTTTCACACCAAAATCCAAACAGAACGAGTGACTTGTCTTCAACTTTTCTATCCCACGTTCTGCCTGTGCAGACAACGTCAGTATGTGCAGGATGTGGCAAAGTTTTCACATAATCGGACATTTTTCAACCTCCGTCCCTCCGCCACTTTCGCTTTACAGCACAGGCGCTCATCGCTCTTACGTCGGAAGCCGCGAGAAATGTCCAGTTTAATCCACATAATCATAATAAAGAGGTATCGGCCTCTCCCAAAAGCGAATGCGTTCCGACCGTGCTTTAACTAATGATGAAAAATTGGATTTCTCTGCAGCAGCTCATGCGATTAAACAAGTAATTGTGTTTCACATATCTCGACCGTGCATCCGTTCATAATAGCTTTCCTACAGGTGGATAAATGAGGTTTTACAATGCGGTATCACAGTAAACCCGGTGGCTGGATTATAGATCACCGTAACCCAGTTTACTGATGCAGTTAATTAAAGCGTAGTATATGCTTGTCGGTAGGAAAGTGAAAAGGCAGCGTCGTGGGAACATGAACAAACATTTCGGTGAAATTAACTGCATTTTTTGTTTTTTTTTTGTTTCTCTTAACACAGATTTTATCTTTACAGTTTTATGAGACATGACGAACAAGGCATGAGAAGGAGCTTAAAGACTAACTGAACGAGAGCAAAAAAACAAAAAAAACAAACAAAAGATGCATCTAATAATGCCCCGAATTATTTGTTCCCCATGTATTAGCTTGATCAGATTTTCAAAAATTGTTTAATTTCACCAACATGTTGGGTCTGAGTGGAAATGATATTAATGTTTTGAAATGGCCCAAACAGAAACCCAAGTTCACTCTGATTGGAATTTGTGAAAAGAGCTAAAGATTAGCAGGATGGCTAAATATTAGTACAATGATTTATCACCAAGGAAACATGCAAAAAGCTGGTCACTGTTTGTAAGAAAGGTCACTGTTTGTAAGAAAGGGTTGGAAGTTTCCACATATATATATATATATATATATATATATATATATATATATATATATATATATATATATATATATATATATATATGTCTAATTTCTGAAATTCTGTCTTTTACTTACTTCTTACAGCATTAAATGGGGCTCTGGTAAAAGGTATAAAAGATCAATGTTATTTCTGACTAGGGCGTCTCATTTAAGCCCTGTATTAAACAGGTTTCCAGGACTTTCATTTTTATCTCAGAAATATTGCCAAAATTATAATTATTGTTATTTTAAGGGTAGGCTCTTAAAATAACAATCAGGAAGTCCAAAAAATATTAGTGAACATCCTTCAGTTGACCCAAAACCTTGCAGCAAGAGTTCTGATGAAAATTTAAAAAATAATAATAATAATAATTTATTTCCAACTTCTGCTTCTCTTCATTTATTCCCTGTTAAATCAAGTTGCTTTAGTTTCTCTTCAGTTCTTTCATTTGTTCTTATTTATTAAACACTTAGCATGTTTCTATTTATTGTGAGACTTGTCCAGTTAAACTGGTTAAGTGGAGGACAAACAGAAATGAGTCAGGCCTGTAATAAAAGTCCAAGCAGATTAACAGCATCTAACACAAGACCGACAAGATCCATTAACCTCCAGCTGCTCCGTCTTTGCTAACATTTTTTTTTTCTTTTTGAGAAGTTATTTTATTTTGATTTAACTCTGCTTCAACCTTTGAGTTTTTTTACATTCAGCTTAAAATGGCCTAAAAAAATAGAAAAATGTACAAGATATTTGAAAAGTCACAAGAAAATCTTAAAATAACACAAGTAAGCAAAATAAAAGCAGCTTATGGATGACTCATCATTTTGCAGAGAAAATAAGCTTCATCAATAGACAGATGCATTATCGTCCGTCATATGCTCCATCCTGGCTGCACAAACAACAGTTACTGCCTGGTTTACCGGCCGCATGTGCTTTTATTAATTTGCGCACAAACAGATCAGTCTGACAAACCAAACATCTACCATCCGACTTGTGTGTGTGTGTGTGTGTGTGTGTGTGTGTGTGTGTGTGTGTGTGTGTGTGTGTGCTCTTGCTCTGAAGAAGCCGCTGCTCCTCTGATTACAGAGTGGTAATTTAAGTTCAGTGAGAGGCACAATTACCGATTCAAACGCAGCAGCAAAAATAATGGCTCTGGCCTGAACTGCTTAGTTCAGCCGAGCTCAGCTCTGCTCAGCTCGATCCAGACTTTAGATCCCCTCCTCTCTGCTCAGCTTACTTCTCTGCAGGTGGTGCTCTCTAGAAGATCACCTGTGTGTTGTAATGATTTCAATAACCTTTTCCAGGTGAGGACTTAAACAGAAGGCTTTTTTTTTTTTTTTTTTTCTTTTTTTACCTTATCAGAAATTTGAACCAGCACTAAGGAAGTCATGAGCATCAGTGAGAGCACAGGGGGTAATTTCCTGATCCAGGAGCCACATGATGCTGCTGTTTTGTTTTCAGGTTAATGAGAGCCTGAGTCCACAGCCAGCATTCACACAGTATAAAGGAATAGATTATTTTTTATATATATATTCCTCCTTCCGGTTGTGATCACGGTGATGTGCTATGACCCAGATTGTGGTGTGACATTGACACATAGCCAGGCACTGTTATGGTGTCAGGAAGAGTATTAGTCCTGGAGACTCATTAATCACAATGTGAACGGCGCCTAATCAAAGGGTGAGCTCCACATCTTGTCCATCTTGCTCACCCTTAACCGACCTAAACCATTAAGTTCATGGACATTTTTCAAACGCATACGAAACAAAAGGGAGAAAAAGCACCGGCTTTGGTGGTGCATTATGCAGTATTTATGAGTACAACAGATTAAAGAATGGAAGAAGAACTTTGTTCATTGGAGATATTTGCAGAATCTTAAAGCGTTTCTTATTTAAATCATTTATTCTGCTGATCTGGTAAGTGAAGCCCGCATTACTTTGGAGCCAAACTTACAATGCACTTTACTTGGGCATGACTATATATAAAAAAAATCCTGTGCTTGAAATTATTTATTTCATTTTGTAGAAATCAATACCAATTCATACTAGATAGTTAGTCACTCCTCCTATGAACTCCTTACATGAACTACAGTATAGTTCATGTAAATCGGTTGTTTTTTTTGGTTCAGATCCAAATTTTCTGTAGGTTTGAGATCTGTTTTGGATCATTCATCCTGTTTGAACACTCAGTTGTAGAGATGGTAATCTTTTATGTTACTTATCATAAAACAAATGTGTTTTATGATAAGAATTTAGATTTATTTAGAAAACGGTAAGTGTTTGAGACCTCAAAACTGGCAGCATTGTAAGAATTGCTATTTTCTCTATTGTTAGTCTTATGAAAGGATCAATAAGTAACAATACATTTGAAAATACAATTAAACCCAGAAGGCGTGTGCAGTTTAGTGATAAATCTCACACTTTTTTATGTTATGGTCTCCTGATAAAGAGACCTACGTAAAGATTGGCATGCCTTTTAAGAACAGGTTTTGTGTTTGTGTCAAATAATTTAGTGGTAATCCTCTATCTTTATTGTGCCATCAATTTTGTGCAGTGCACCAGTCCTTCTTGCTGTCAAACAGACCCTCAGCATGATGCTACCACCACCGTAGCCCTAGGTTTCAAAGTCTCATGTCCTCATGTCTTCACAAGAAATAAGCTCAGTGTTTGCAAAGTTTAGTTCTTCTGATTAACCCCTAACATGTAATAAGGCCCAGTGGCACTGAATTATCTTAAAGTCCATGGCTTATGTCTAGGGAGTCCCCAGTTTGCTCTTGAACATCTTAAGAAATCCTTCTGGGGCCGACAGCTTAGGTTGTTAGCTGAAGCCAAACACGCATCAAAAACTGGTCTCAGTTTTCATAAAGAAGGCTTGCATGAAATTTCTGGTATGTCCTAAATTTAACTCTACTGAAATTTTATGAACTATGTTTAAAAGTTGCCTCTCTTTCAGTAAACCAACCAGTTATGAATAAACTTCACAATTTCTACGTATTTACAAATAAGGAAACCAGAATTATCCCTGTTGATGGCAACACAAAGCATGTGGTTTTAGTGCAGGTTCCCGGAGGCCATTTATTCAAAAACCAGTGGATTTTATGTACACTGCTCAAAAAAATAAAGGGAACACTCAAATAACACATCCTAGTTCTGAATGAATGAAATATTCTCATTGAATACTTTGTTCTGTACAAAGTTGAATGTGCTGACAACAAAATCACACAAAAATCATCAATGGAAATCAAATTTATTAACCAATGGAGGCCTGGATTTGGAGCCACACACAAAATTAAAGTGAAATGTTCCCTTTATTTTTTTGAGCAGTATATATATTTGAGCCCATGAGTATAATTTCCAGCCTATGTGGATAGGAGTAAATTCACAATAAAATCAAACCTGTGCACTTATTTTTAGTAGTTGCAGAGAATGTGCTTTGTATTATTGTTCCTTCCTGAAAAAAAAAAAAAAAAAAAAAGACTCCAGTGCTTCATTAGCAGCTAAGATCCTTCCCAAGATAGGTCTGTGTAAACCTCTAAACGTCACAACATGCATATCGCAAGTGGAGAACAATATGATTTTTGTTTTTAATGTTCCAGCGACCTCGGCAGGGTCTCTGATGCGACTGGAGGAATGACAAAATCTCCCGACCTCGCTGCTCCCACACTGTAAAATTCCTGTGATCGTTTACATCTCCAGACACTTTCGGCCTATTTGACGTGTATCTTGCGAGAGATTAGCATGCTCCGGAACAAGAAGCCATCAGCTGGGCTCTCAGAGCTCTCTGCCACACATAAATATATAAACTTAGAAAGCAGACATGCAGTGTCTGGCCTACTTCGCTTGCCTGTTGGACACTTCTCCTGTCCCTTTTGGGCAAATACACTTTTACTTATGATTTAGTGACGCCTCTCCAGTTGGCCCAGTTAAATAAGGATTTCACACCATGTAAAATTACCCCCCACCACCCCGCCTCCCCTCGCACGCAGTGGCAACCCAGCCTGGCTGACTGCCAAGGAGACTGCAGTGATTAGTGTTGACCAGGCTGAGACCAGACTCTTACCTTAAGCAGAGAAGCAACACCAGCAAATCGCCCAGATGTTCATTTCAATCAAAATTTCTTCCTTGAACATTCACAACTTTTCACCTGCGACCTGGCTCTAAACCTGTTGTATTAGACCTTTGAATACACGTCTCCGCCCCGCCACGGCTGAAGCTACTCTCCCTATTCGCAGATGAGTGCCCCATGTTAAATGTGACATGTAGAAATAAGTACTAGATACGCATTTGTTTGTTTAAAGCACGTTCTTATTAGCCTAGATCTTATGGTAATGTGTAAAATCAACTTTGCACTAGAATTGATGCAACTCTATTATCTGGTTTCCAACAAATAATTGTTTGCTTTTATTTTTCTCTGTTATTACACATCTTTAAATGGATAGTCCTCCACTGATGATGGATGGATGGATGGATGGATGGATGGATGGATGGAAGAAAGTAAAAAAGTGAGAAAGAAAGAATAAAGACAGATATTTCATCATCTTTATTCAGACATGTAAAATACCTCAATCAAACTTTTCCAGACATTGTTGGCACATTGTCATAAACTCTACTGTTATTTTGAATTGTACCTTTGGCTGACAAAATCTATAAACAAGACACAATTCATCGATTTTGCATCTTATTTTTGTGTCAGCAGCAGCTGGCCAGCCCATATTAGTTGAACTCCGGTGGTCTAAGTCATCAGCCACAGGTTTTTGCATGTGATTTGTTTGACATGAAGAGCATTCAAAACTTTTCTATGAGTCAAACGCAATTCATTAGTGTACCTCACCTTATATTTCACTTGTTTTCCCCTTATTGCTTCATAATGAGCTGCTGTCGTGAAAAGCTTTCCGGTTAATGAAGACCTAGTCTGTAGAGTAGATTGGTCAAATAAAAGCCACATCTTCCAAAACAAAGCTTGGAAATCTGTTGCCGATGAATGTGTTGCACCGTTCTGGACGGGCGGTCAAAACAGATCCGGCTGTGTTTGCCATTCGCCGAGCTGTGACTGTGCCTGTTTAAACAATGATTGTTAATTCAAATCACACGTATAGCGCCGCTTCGTCCCTCCCAGCTCTCCGGTTGTGTAACCTCTCTTCCCGTCTCTGCTCCCGCTGACAGATCTTCCACATGACCTATGACCTGGCTAGTGCTGTGATGAGAATATTCAACCTGATCGGGATGATGCTGCTGCTGTGCCACTGGGACGGCTGTCTGCAGTTCCTCGTTCCCATGCTGCAGGACTTCCCGTCTGACTGCTGGGTGTCACTGAACAAGATGGTGGTGAGCAGTGCGCCTTGTTTGTGCCGGAAATTGCAGACGACAAATGCCTGGCAACAAATCAGCGACAATCAAAACATGGAACGCATTCTCCGCTGGAGCAAAGTGGAGAGTTAAATGCAGTCAGATTAGGAAAATGAGTTTCACCCAAAGAGGAGCTTTCACACACACACACACACACAAACACACCCACACACACACACACACACACACACACACACACACACACACACACATACGTGTGCGCAGGACTGCTCTCGCTAAAAAAAACATGGAGGAGAGGAGATGCTGAAGAAGAGCTTTTTTTGAAGCTGTCTGTTTGGCCATGTCCCCACAAGGCTTTCCTTCAGAATTATTACACAGAGATAGATAGATAAACTTTTTAGTTACTTGAAAAGCTATTAGCTAGAGCTGTAACTGATGAAAAACATTATTAAAAATATTAATATGAGAGTTAGTGGCACTAATTCATCTCTAGAACAGGCAATTTCTCAGTTGACATTTCTTATCTTCATAGTTCATTTCTGTTTTTGTCCGTTTCATCAAAAACCAAATAAGCTCCGGTCAACCAGCAGAACGTCACCATAGACTCCCCCATGTGTCCTGCTTCACCTCACGAGCCACTGGACACACAGAAACACACAAATTGCAAATGTTGATGCAAATGCAAACGAGAGTGCAAAAACTGCAAACCCTCCGGAGTTGTTTTTGACTTTAACATTTGTGACTTAAACAGCACTCTGTCAGATTTGTCATTCTGGCTCGGAGGTAGCAGATTGGAAGCTGATGGCTGACGTGGCTGGAGGCCAGCTTAAAGTTCGGGACGCGCGAACCCGTACACACCTGCATGGCGTGCCCGTGGGTTTGTAGCATTCGGAGAGTTTATCATGGAACGAAAAAGCTACACAGGCAGAAAAGAGAAATCATTACACCTTTAGAGTTGAGACAATACAAACCTGATATTTCTTCTCGGTAAAATCCAGTGGAACCCACGAATTAATAACTTGGTTCAACTGTTTCATTATCAACATGAATACAGGCAACGTCAGCATTATGCTGTGGGAATTATTTTGTTTTTCTACAAGAGACAGGGAATCGGTCAGAAGTGATGACCAGACACAGGGAAAACCTTGGAAAAACTTTAGTTCAGATCATATTAATGGCACACGTTGGAAATAAATGATCAAAAGAGAAAAATCTCAGGGCTGTAATTGGAAATAGTTACTTTGAGCATAATCTAGAATAGAATAATGGCCCTTCTGTAGCTTTTTTCAGATCCAGACTATTTTCACAGCTGCCTGACTCCGCTAGCCAAACGTCCTATTTGCTAATTCACAGTCTCCTTATTTTGGCACATAGATTCAACACAGTCATGTTGCTTAATCCTATGACATAAACATGCTTATTTGGATAGGTGTGTTACCACAGTTTGTGCCAAAGAAAATGAGAGACTCCCTGTGATGTGTCTGCATGCTCGCTCGCTGACCTTGAAGAATATCATCATTGCATCTCTGTCGATCCATCTGTTTTTTTTTTCTCCTCCATGTGCATGGCAAAACAGAGTACATCGCTTCCAACTCTGTGCAATGCCTTTGTCAAGATTGTCGACTTTGGGCTCTTGGTTTGTCTGGAAAACCAAATTCAGAATAGATTTCATGCCACTTTCTTCTTCCCTGTGTTGTCCTTTTACAAGCCTCGTGCTTTAGAATCTGACGACGCCGTCTCTGTTCATGTGGCTGTGTTCGTACTCGATACCGATTGGTATTCAACTCCAGTTTCAGTATTATGTTTTGCCGATGTGGCGGTTTCCCGGTGTCAGAGAAGGGTCAGCTTCCACACGGCTCTGTGACATTTGCGTGCCAAATGTCACTAAATGGTGCAAACACTTTATCTGCAGCAGCGCATGTAGTTCCTTACAAAAATACTTATAACCACTGAAACTTTTTTTCCCCCACATTTTATGACTTCAAACATCAAGGCTTTTATTGGGACTTTATGTAACAGACCAACAGAATTCAGTGTTGGAAAAATCGTCAGCGGTTTTCTACTCCCTCCTCCCGTCTCCCTGTGTGGTCCTCATGGTTCACCTCAGGCCGATCGTCTGCCTGCCTCTGCTGGTCATTTGCTGGGCTCAAACCCGTGTTTCCTTTCTTAAGCTCTCTCCGCAGCACCATGGTGGCTTGCTTGGCATGCCTTTTTTTTTTTTTTTTTTGCTACGTGCAACTTTGGAGCTTTCTGTAATGTGTGAACATTGGCCTCTTAACACTTTGAGAAGCGACTGTTGACTTGTAAACAGTATATGAACATGCAGGATTCAACAGCTCAGTCATCACAACAAAGCAGATCTCCATGGTCTGTTACGTAAGTGACTCTGTATTATGTGCATGATGACAGGTGGAGTCCCCCCCCTCTACCCCCAGTCAACATTACCTCAGGCTTATTGGCTGCTCAGTCGGTGACATTAAAATAAAGCTGCTGCCTCCCCCCTTCCTCCTCCTCCTCCTCCTCCTCCTCCTTCTCCTCCTCCTCCTATGTGTACGCTCCACTTAGAATTCAACTTATTTTACTGCATTGGAAGAAGAAGAGTTGTTGTAACAGCTAATTTGTTTATGCATTAATGTTTTATTCAGTCACCCAGAGATGCACTTTAAAAACACTCTCAGGCTTTCAAAGTCAGTAAGAGCATCCTCGCTTTATTTGGTTTCTGAGGTGATCTGACAGGGTTTGTGTGAATAAGTAGAAAGTGTAAGGCCTGTTTGTGAAGGTGTTGCTGTGTGTTATCTGGCCAGGATCCACCAGATAACAATGACACTATAGTTTCAGACAGACTTCTGAAATGCTGGATGCTTTCCCTGCTGTAAGCTGCAGCAGTGCAACCCGGCGAGCCAAACTAAATAACTGGACCCTAAATGTGTTTAGATAAGTCATGGATTATATAAATGATAATTAATTCGGAGCTTATCTGCTGCACTGTAAGGACTGATTGAGACTTTATTTATTTAATTACTTATTTATTTATCACTAAGGACACCAGTCCAATTTTGTTGTGCTCTAGAAACTACAATGCCTTGTTGTTGCCTATAGAAGGTAAATTTTATGTTCAGGGTTTGACGCGTCCTTAGTGATATTCTGAATCTACAGAGAACACAGGAGAAGGCAGTAATCTATTCAGCAGAACTGCTGACTCAGTGGAAGGTTTTTCCATCTGGTGAACATCCTGCATGCCACATGGTCAGGGGCTATAATAGATTATCTTTGATTGCAATGGTAAAAATTTGTGATTTTCAGATCAGACACCTTATTGTCCCACAGTGATATTTGTCTATCAGCTTATCAACCTTTTCATCTCTGGAGAGACTTTCCACAGTGGAAAATGAAAGGTCTTCATCATTCTTGGCACAACCAGATTTGAAAAGACGCTTTGAGTTTAAATCATATTGGTTGCAGCTTACATCATCATCATCATCATCATCATCATCATCAAAAAAAAAAAAAGGCCATGGTTGCACTTCAGCTAACTATTTTCCCACTTTCCCTTTACAAGGCAGAAATTAGGGCCTATAGAACCTGAAAACTCATATTAACCGGTTTACTTTATAGGAAAACCTCTATTTGTGCAAGATTATACCTTTGGAGGTGTTTTTTTTTATTATTATTTTAATATTTTTTTATTTGGACTACAAATAGTCCCACTTGCCTGGGTGAAACTACATTTTGCTGAAAGTACACATAATGGCAGCTGTGATGTGCCCTGCTGGGTTATTTGCCAGTCTTGAACCCTTCAGGGCTTAAACAGATGTGAAGCTGTAAAATGCAGCAAGCTAAGCGATATAAAAAAAGTTTGATTTTAAATGTGATCAGATCTCACCAAGCGCAACAAATGTGAGTAGGTTCATCGGATAATTTCAGTTCAGGCTGTTACCACTGTGTTATCTGTACAATAAGAATCTTTTAGGTTGATTTTTTTTTGTTTGTTTGTTTGTATTACTGGTTAGACGTATCACCACATTTCCAACAGAAAAAAAACTTTTCTTTTTAATGTTCTTTTGTAAGAGAACGCTAGTGAACAATCAGCATTATGAGGAACCAGGAACACAGCAGAAAGGTAGACAATGGTGACGTTATAATCACGGTTAAGTTATAAAACAACATGCATCTCACATAACACTGGATTTCAAGCCTCCTGCTCTAAATGCATCATTCAGACCGTGTATTTAGATGGGTCCTGAGTGACCACATGGTGATTAAAATAACTATTCTCCTGGTATGTTGCTTACTGAATGTAGGCAGGTTGCACCCTGGCAACGTGTAGATACTGAAATCTGATTGGACAGCACACAAGTAAACCACATGCCCGCCAATCGTTTCTACAAAGCAACGACACGAGTTAGAACAGATGCATGCAACGGATTTCAGCTTTCATGTTCACAAAATTAATAATGAAAATTGTGCATGCCATTCCTTCCACGTCACAATTAAGCACAACTTTCTGTTGGCTTACTTACAAAATATGCATACAAAATGTATTAAAAGTCAAGGCTTATGAATACTTTCAAAATGCACTATATCACAATATCATTGTGTTTTTCTCATTAGTTTAATATTTATGTTATTACTGTGATGCTTAAATCAAAGTAACTTTTATTTTGTTCTGTGCAACCTTCTTCATTTCCAACACACTCCAGCAGACAGCAAGCTATCTTCAGATGCTGTTCCCATTTAGTTTTGAATTATAAACTCAAACATGGGCCCGGTGGCTCTAAATTATGAATCTAAACAAGCTATTTTTTTATGGATGTTTACATATTAAAATTGTAAATGTGTGTCCTTTGAAGTAAAACAAACTCCCCATGTCGGTTTTAAGACACTCAGAGTGAAACGCTGCCCACCGTAACTCGGAGCAAGCGCACAGTCGCATACCGACATAAGCGGATAGATCCAGAGTGGAAGAGCCGCCACCCAGACGAGCGCGCCGGCGTGCACCTACAGTCACTACCCGACTGCACCATGCATTATCCATGTCCCAGAGTCCCTTTGTGTTCCTCCCTAAATGTATTATGTACAATTAGCTATCATCTGTGCAGCTCAGTGAAGACCGATAGCAAATAAAATGGAACACAAGAACTAATTTCGTTTGCTTTTTTTCTGCCTCCTCGCTCCCCTCACCCCCGCCTTCACACAAGGTAGTATCTCTGTAGAATTAGTTTATTGTGTTACTCTGAAGATTGTAATTTCCTACAGTAAGAGACAGCTGTGCAATCTGTCGGCTTTAATCAGCTGTTAACTCAAATTTATACGCTGAGGGACTCTTCATCTGCTTTCTCCTGCTAGGAGAGTTTCTCCCCTATAGAGTTTTATGATCAAACTGTTACAGGTAAATGAAGACTTCAGAAAAATCTACATATGCATATTTGTTGTGCTGCTGAGAATTAATAAGGGACTGCTTTCCAGAAGGCAAATCGTCAGTCATCAATTAAATTGTTCACAATTGCGACTACAGTGCCTGGCAGTGGGAAATATTTCAAACGATCTAAACTTGCTGTGTTTTTAACGAGCTAACCTTGGAAGTAAGGCCATGTCGGAGCACATTTTTGTTTTCATGTGACGCTGTTCTACAAAACTGAGAAAGAAATCTTAAAAGTTTTCGAAATGCCAGCCTTGGTGACCGTAAAAAAAAACGTTTTCTAGAAATACAAAAGGAAAAAAAATGACATGGAGAATTAACCTTTGAACTGTCAGCGGTACGTTTGTGGAAGTAGAAGCTAACATTGGTGGCAATTTTCATTTTTCTGGAATCTTTTTTAACTGCATTAATTTGCTAAAGAAAAAGTAAAAATTCCTGCTGGGGTGTAAAGATTTACAGTAGTAGTTCACCTCCAACTTTTATTTATTTTCAAAACAACAACAACACACTCACACAAAAAGAAAATCCCTACAAGGCGATGCTGCCTCCAACACGAGTCACTTTGGAGATGGTATCTTAAAGTGTTGGATTTTATCCACATATAGCATTCCTGCTAATTTGTGTTGGTTTGCCACTTTAAGTTTGTGGTTGACACAAGACATGGTATGAAAAAGCTCCAGGAGCAGGAATTTTTTTTTTTTTTTTTTTTTGCTAAAAGGTTGCATTATTCTGCAACACTCTCTTTCATTTATGTTGCATGTCATGTTTGGTAAATTTAAATCAGATCCCAGTGGAACAAAAACATCCATTCAATTACTGTGCACTCATTTGTGCCTGCACTTTGCTCTGAAATCCAGTGCTGGACAGGAAAATCACAACGTCTGAAACAGAGACAGCCAGATTTAGCCGATTGAATCAGGAAGCATATTTCTGTGCCTTCTCTCGGCGTGAAAGGTTCCTAATCCTGACATTTATCCACCTGCGGTGTTGCAGCATGCTGACAGCAGTTTTTCATCTTTTCCCAACCAGTGTTAGCCTAAGTGAGCCTCAGTCTGGTGCAGGGTGCCCAAATTGTGTCTGAAAATAGCAGCACTGTAACACAAAACAAATGTACAGATAGAGTAACTGAAACTAATGTTGTGCTTATTATTATGCTTTTAATTCTAACTTTCTATTTTCCAATACCAGGATGAGCCACTCTCTGACTTCAAGGCTCAAAACACACCACTATCTATTTATTTTTTGTTTGTTTTACAGAAATCTATTTTTTTAATTTTTTTTTTATTTCCTCACTTCATCTCAGATCACTTTACTTCATGGTAATTTTCAACCATTTGCACTTCCGCAAAACATATTTTCCTCCTCCCTCTTCAAAACCGAGCCCATTTGAATCTCAAATTCAATGCAAATTAGGCTGGAGAAACACACATCAGATAAGAATCTACCCGATCAAACAGTGGCTTCAGGGCTTGCGAGCTTTTCGAGGGATCACCCTTCGTGCACGTAGGTAACCTTCAGGTGGTTTGCCCACAGCAGCTGTGTAAGGAGGGAAAGTGGGGTGCCAGTGAAGGGCTGTCTAATGAGTCCAGCATGAGAGAATTAGGGCCCGCTGAGTGTCCGAGCACCAATCAAAGGAGAAACGGAGAAGCCAGTGCAGACTCCTCATTAACAACTCTCTTTTTATGTCCTCTTTCTCGGCCGGGACGAGGCAATGCTGCTTAGTGACGATGATTAGACCCCCTAAGAAACCCGAACCACTCGGCAGACGCGGAGCTACAGACTTCGCCAGGAATTTCTCACCCATAAAACCTCTCCATTTCCTAATACATCCTCTCTTTCACCACTTCAGTCACACTTGTACATGCTGCTGCTGCTGCTGCTGCTGCTGCTTCCCCGCTAGGGAATAAAAGTACGACACCTCATCAGATTGGCTCTCTTGACTTAAAACCAAAAAAATAAATAAATAAATAAACGCACCTACTTACCTCTAACCAGCTTCTCCCCACTCTCCAACAGAACGACTCATGGAGCGAGCTCTACTCCTTCGCCCTCTTCAAGGCCATGAGCCACATGCTGTGCATTGGATACGGCAGGCAAGCCCCAGAGAGCATGTCGGACATCTGGCTGACCATGCTCAGTATGATTGTGGGAGCGACCTGCTATGCCATGTTTATTGGCCACGCAACCGCCCTCATCCAGTCTCTGGATTCATCGAGGCGGCAGTACCAGGAAAAGGTAGGGATGCTGCTGCAAATCAGTTACCTAGCATCTCAAGTGACCCATGTGTTTGTGTTTAGATTCACACTTAAGAGCAAAGATTCAGCACAGAGCCTCACTATTAGAAACTCAAAGAGACGTTACTAAAAAAAAGAAAAAGAAAAAAAGAAAAAGCGCCAGCTCTGCCTCGGTTGCTTTCATATTGGTAATTAAAGCAGATGTAACTTTATTTCATCTTCAGGGTTTGTCATCTAGTTTCCCATTTGTTTGTCAAATCAAGAAAGCAGGAAGCGAACTGTATAATAGAGTATTCCTGGTAAATACTCTATGATACAGGGTGGCGAGAGAAATGGCTCATGTTTTTTTTTTTTTTTTTTAACCCAACACTAAAGAATAATTCTACAACCACCAAAATCTGACAACACTCCAATTTTGTTTACATTTTGCAACGATGGAAGCTGCGCTCATGTCTTCTTCGGAGGTTTTCGTGTTGATTCCTTCAGTAAGTTCTTGGTGTTATCGCACCACGAGCAGGTTTGACACAGTGCAGCGTGATAGCAAATGTTGCAATTCTGGTCCCCAATCGAACCGAGCCTGTCGAACTATCAAGCGTGAAAACTCCCTCTCTGTATCATGGCATTATCTCTGCCTGTTGTTCTCTGTCTGATCAGTAATACCTGAAACATACTTAATATCAGGGGCTGTTCATTTTTCCCCCTTCCCCATTTCATATATATGTACCGTTTGTCGTCTCTAGCTGTCTTCGACATTGCATATCAACCAGGTGGGACATTTTGTTCCTGCTTGGACAATTTAAAGCAATTTCTCTGTTTTCCACATAGTTTTCTGTACGAAATGTGACTAAATAACTCCATCAAGTAATGTCTTTTGGCCCGATTAGATCATGATCTATCTTATAAGAGCAATCTGACCCAAACAGGGTTTAGAATGAACAAAAATTGAAAAAGGGAGTCATACACCAAGATATTAAGAATGTTATTCTCCAGCCATTTGCTGTTGGGATTGTTTTATCCAATTATTCATTCGCTCATGGTGAACATATTTCTCAAAACTGACCAATGTCTGAGCTAATACTAAGCTGCAATCAGTTTCTTTGTGAGAAATAAAAACAACTTCTTACTGCAGTCTGTGTGTAAATTACCTAGGATGCAGATCAGGCTGCAACCCTCCCAGTACTGCCCCCATTTGCATCACTTTCTGTTTATTTGCCCAACAGTGTGAATAAAGTTGTGGCATTTGATATGAATAGAAAGAATAGTTCATTTGATACCAATGGACTTTGATGGAAGCAGCATCTGCTCCATTAGTCCGATATTCATGTCTGCATCGCGCCGGACCAGCGCACATCTGGCCTCTTTGTACCAGCAGAAGATCAAAGCTTGTGGAGTCTGCAGGCTGGAAAAGGGGGCCGAGCTTCTGCTTTACAGCCTCGCTGTGCCAGAGGTGTTCTGTGACTTGTTAGCTCCCTCAGATCCCGGGTGATGTGGAGATCCTGCAGTCTGTCCCGTCTGCACGTCAAGCAAACGCATCAGAACAACAGGTCCTTTCCTCTGAACCCTAAAAAGCTCAATTATATCCTGTCTCTCCAGTAATCATGTTGTAGATTTATTCTCCTCATTTTGTTGCTCTTGATTGATAGTGTTCGAGGCAGTCTGCGGCGATCTCGTTTTGCTTTTTAAGGTTATGATATAACCCCGTTTAAATGCAGTACTGACTCTAGTGGCTGGACTGGTTTTCAAAATGAAACAGATAACCAATGTTTACATTGTATAACATTTATAAGCATGATGTAGTTGTTATCAGAGGTTCTTATAATACTCCTCATTAGGAGGAATGGCTTGAAATTCAGGCTCATCAACTCTTAAAATTAAGAATCATATACATATCCAAATATTTACATACACCTCCAGTTTTATCTGGTTAAATTGCTGAAGCAAACTGTGAAAAACTGGTGCTTTTTGTAGCTACGAATGTAGCCTGGATGTACGTTTAAAGTCTTGGCAAAAAAAAATAAATAAATAAATAAGCGACACAGTTGATTTTAATTGGCTGCTTTCCTGGTGAGGATCCATCTTTTAAACACAACTCTCCATATTTTAACAGGACTGAGGTCAAGGCTTTTCCAAAAGCCTGATTTTCAGTTTCAAAGGTATTTTTGATGTTTATTTGTTCGACTGTGTCCAAGTTACAACTATCTACTTGTTGATTTGAAGTGAAGTCTAATACTGTGAATGTAGCCATCCATTGTAAATTAAAATTAAAAATTTTAAAAATAATGCAGTTTGCTGTTCTAACAGGACAAAAACACTTTTCAACTACCTTAATCCTGTTGAAAATGTAAGAACTATGATTAAAAACTGAGTAAACATGGGAACCAACCTATTTAACAGATCCTTTTCATGTAAAAGAGAGATAAAATATCATTTTATGTCAAATGAATTTCAACTAATTCACTAAATTTTCCTCCATGTTTTTACTTTTTTTTTTCTTTTTTACCATTTGACCCTGAAGACATAATGGCTCAAATTAATAATTAAAAACACCCCAAAATGAATAAGACAGCCATTCCTAGGATGAGTGTATGTAAACTTTTGAGCGAAACTCGAGATGATGCAGGTCAAAGACAAAGCACATTTATAAAAACGTCATTAACAATTATCACTAATCGTTCCTATAATCCTCCTTTGGGTTTGAGTTAAACCCAAATTAAATTCCCACAGTTCAATTCACAGAAAAGCATAAAATAAAATCATTTTAAAAAAAGGTGCCACCTGCAAACCTGGAGGCAGTTTTTGGTTTGTTTACCACCAGCTTCTCGACTCTGACTTTCAGAAAAGAAACCCGAGCCACAAATTCATCATCACTTCTCGAAACAGTCTCAGGAAGCCTGCTTTAAACCTGTAAACCCAGCTTCCCCTTTCATTTTACATTTTCACTTTACCCACTTATAATATATTATTGCATATATTACATATTTATTAGCTCTATAAACTTTGTGTGGTCAAGGGATATTTTAAAAGTTCCTGACTTTATTTTTCATATTCTCCTTGTACATCACATGCAGTATTTCTAAACAACAGATTTATTTTACATCACAGTGCCTAAACTGCACTTGAGGAATGCTCACTGTTTCTAGCTGTTCTGTCACTATGCCAGTTAATCCATTTTTGAAGCCTTCCCTTGGCTTCATTGTGTGAGCGAGGACAAAAAAAAAACTTGCAGTACAATAGCAGTATAATTGCTTTCCACTTGAACACTTTGACATTAGGGCTGTAAGCCTAATAGGAGGTCCTCCTGCTGTAGGCAGAGTTCTGTGTTTAATAAAGACTGGAGAGAAAATGGAAAGGAAGGGCGAAAGAGCTGCTGACTCCGAGCCGGTGTCTGTTTTCTGTCAGTTTCTCGAGGCTCTCCTCTGTCAGCGCTGTGATGTACACAGCCGTCGCTTCCTGTTCTCTTGTGATTCGCCGCAGAAAAAAATAACGAACAGAGACGCAACACCCTGCAAGGAGGATGAACTGGCACAAGTCATCCTCGAACCTATTGATCCCCTGATCGCCCCACGGCTGTTTTCGTCCATCGTTAGCCGACGAGGAACGGCGCGCCGAACGGACCTGGATTTGAACTGAACTTTGAGGGGAAACAGATGAATTATATAGTTAGTGTAAATGCTAACGACAGCGCAGACGTGTGTTGACTCAACATAAAGTAAACAGTCGGCGTTGTGAGCCATGTTAAGACAGAAATGTAATAACAGCTGTGATAGTTAACATCATCTCAGGCTCAGGGCCTCCGGGTGAAAGAATGACAGGATTTCTGAGGTTCCCTGCGGAGCAAACAAGTCCAAATGTTTCCTGCTTTTTCAGAGTCAGACGCCCGATTTACATGGTTAGTTTGTGATCAGAATGGAAAGAGAAACAGAAACAAGGTCGAAGATTTCTAACCAATGCTTTTTTTTTTTTTAATTCTTTGACTTTACTTTCATAACTTTTTTTATCAATAGCTGCCATATTGGATTCCTTGGGTTTCTCTCTGATGTGATGGAGACATTTCATTACTTTTAAACTACCTTAGAAGAAAATGTCTTATTATTTTTTTTTCTTTTATGAAACCCAGCTTCAATGCTTATCTTCCTAACTTTTGTTAAAACTGTTAAAACTATTAACAACTCATTTCAGTAACTTCCTCTGAATCATTAATAGGTTTAGATTTTGGTCTGAATTAAAAGCTAATCTCTTAAGTTTATCATATAATTAGAGCACTAGTTTTCTGTCACTCTTTTCACTTTTTCCTTGCCATTGAGGTTTAAGTTTTGTGTTCTGCGCTGGACTTATGCATGAGCTAGTTTCCCTAATCGTATTATCAAAATTTTAAATTATTTAGCTTTTACTCAAATTTTGTCTACCAAAAAAGAAAGGCCAACTAAATCACCGCTAAACATCAGGTAAATACGACTCTTGTCTTTTCATAATTTAGCTCATGGCCTTTGTTCGCTGCCTTTCCTTCAGTGGTGCTTTCCCAGCTGGTTTTCATCCATGAAACACTAATTAGTTCATTTTGCTCCATATGATATGAACTGAAAGCACAACTCCAGATGGTCAGGATCTTCCTTGAGTTCTGTAAATATGTTATTTTGTGAATTAATATTTTTTGGCTCAGAGCTTTACCTTTTAACAATTTTCACAATAAAACCTTGACTGGGAAAATTCTTTATAAAAATTCAACTTAATAATTGGTTCTGTTGATTCTTTTCAGCTGTCTTATCTAAAGACCTTGATGGATATGCACATTTTTCTACTATTTGCATATTTTACTATGACAATATGGCTTTGATATTTTATTTTTGACAAAGTAACGATTTGTTTTTGTCCAGTAACATTTGTGGGACACATTTGCTCCGAGGACTGTTATAAAGTTGCAGGTAATGGCACTTAGCTCTTGTTTGTGTTAAAGTGACTTTCTGAAGTAGTGCTACAGAAAGAATGGTGCTACAATTAGCA